ATTGTAGTATAAAAGTTGGCGGATTCAAGTGAATTCAACTGATATTATTAAAATACGCTACGAAAGCTTTAATTTTACTTAGTGCACTTATAGCAAAGATAGGTTACTCAAGTTCCATGCTCGTCTTTGACGGTACAGGAGCGACCGTCCCATCAATTTTGAAGATCGGTACACAATTGATAAAAAAATTTTTACGATACTATTTCGAGGTTCTCGGGAAAAAGTGTAAAAATTTTTTTTGAAAGCATAACGATAATTATAAGCATTTTTTTTTAAAAATACGTATAGCAGAAATCGCAGAAATTGGAGCAGATTTGCCTTTTATAGAAAGCAGATTTCAAGGGTTGTCGCCGCAGATTTTCGGTGCCCCTACTCGCGTCAATGCAATTTTAACGGGACAACGTCCGTGTACAACACTGCCCTCAACAATTAACTTTCTCCGATGAAAAAACTTTAAAAATATGGTAAGAAATATCGATATCTCAAAAAAGTTAATTCTATAAATTACATTAGCTTCTTTAAATAATGAAATATTGGGGGGTTTTTTTTTGCTATTTTCTTAATAATAGTATAATTTTAAACCATCTCTTCAAGAAGTTAACAGAACAAAAGTGGAATGTAATCCCTATTTATTGCACGATTCCTGCAGACTTGCTCACACCTGTTGGAGCTTATTTACGTATTGCAGAACAAAGCAAATATTCTTTTCTTTTTGAGTCAGTGACAGGAGGAGAAAAAATTGGGAGATATACTTTTCTTGGTACAGGTATATGTATATTGCTAGCATATCAGTTCAAAGTTACTACGTACATTATCTTCATTATGTAAATAGATTGTTTACATATAATACTTGCATTTGTGTTCAACTAAGATCCATATAAAGTGCTTAAGATAGGAGATAATGAAGATATCACAGGAGATCCTTTGAAGGTGCTTGAGGAAGAATTGAAATCTATCGAATATATTAATTTGCCTGGAATTCCTTTATTTACAGGTAAAATGTACTTTCAATTATACATTTTTTTATAAGTTATAATAAAATTTAATAAAATTATATCAATTTAATAGGTGGTGCTATAGGATATATCGCTTATGATTGTGTGAAATATTTCGAACCACGAACAGCACGCGAATTAGGTGATCCGTTAGGAATTCCGGATGCAGCTTTTATGCTTTGTGATACATTGGTCGTTTTTGACCATTTATATCAAGTTATAAATGTGGTTTCTCATTATCGAAGCGATGATTATG